GGGCACCGAGTTGCTCGTGCTCGGGCAATACGCTTTGTGCTCTCGTTTTATACTAGATCGATTGTCATATCAACTATTTTTGGTCGACACCGGCGCAGAAGTGTGGGTCGTTCCACCAACTCGAGCATGCCGCTTGTCCAATTCTGAAGGCAACCCACTTTTCGCCGCTAATGGGACCACCATTAAAACCTACGGCGTAGTCTGTCGTACGCTCGACCTTGGTCTTCACCGCAAACTCGTATGGAACTTGTCATAGCGGAAACTAAATACGCCATCATCGGTGCCGACTTCCTCCGGCATTTCAACCTAATCATCGACATCGGGAATTCGACACTGGTAGGCACAGAGAAAGCAAAACCTCGACCAGGTATCTGCAGCTTCGGAGCAGCAACGATCATCGAAATAGAGAGTAGCTCCACCGAAATCGCAAACCTTCTTCGGGAATTTGGTGACATCACGAACCCTAATGCACGAGCCCCATGGTCAACGCAGACTGGGGTGACCCACTGCATCGAGACAAAAGGTCCACCAGTGTTTGCACGACCCAGACGACTCGCACCCGACAAACTAAAAGCTGTGAAAGAAGAGTTTGAGTTTCTTAGCAGACTGGGAATCTGCCGCCCGTCGAAAAGCTCGTACGCCTCGCCTCTACACCCGGTAAGGATGTCAAACGGGGAATGGCGCCCATGCGGTGGTTACCGAGTCTTGAATGCACAAACGGTACCGGATCGATATCCGCTGCCGCAATCGAGCGTACCACCAGATCCCTATCGAACCCGGCGACATACACAAAACGGCGATTACCATTCCGTTTAGGTTATTCGAGTTTACACACATGCCGTTTGGCCTGTGCAACGCTGCACAAACGTTCCAAAGGTTAATGCACGCAGTGTTTCAGGGACTCGATTTCGTTTTTGTATACATCGATGACGTGTGTATCGCTTCTGAAGGCGTCGAGCAACATAAAGCCCACTTGCGGCAAGTCTTCGAACGTCTTCGTCAATTCCACTTAACAGTCAACTTAGAGAAGTGCAAATTCGCTCAAACGCAAATCGAA